CTCTTGTATCAAGGTATTCTCGAATTCATCCTATATTGGGAGAAAAATATATTAGAATTAACATAAGTTAAGTGGTTTCATAACAATTCAAGGCATAATTATATCAACTTTTTACCACTTAACATATGCAAAAACACATACCACAATTTTGCCAATTACATTCATCTTGTTTACATCTTAGAATAAACAATTAAGATGTATGACAAATTGTTCCAATAATTAAGAATATTAGACAACTTATATAAGACTAATTTTATCCCCAAATCAAGAGAAAATATCACTTTAATGGATCATCCAGGTCAACATGAATAAAAATAATCATTAGAAAATAACAAAGTTTTCTAAAAAAATTTCCTACTACCACACACTTTACACCTAAAAAAACACATCTTAATATTTATCACCCATAAATTCATGTCATTAATTACTATTCTTTTATCAACTTTTATATATCATATTTTCTTTTGTGAATAAAATTTCAAATAAGATATCATATTTTATTTTGTGAATAAAATTCTTAATAAGATGTTTCAATTTCATGTAACTATTAATTATTACTATTTATTTTAAAATTAAATAAATTATAGTTAAACAATAATTTACATTTTAATAAAAATATGAAGAAAAATAATAATAACTTAACAAATAATAACTATGATGACATGTAATACATTTTATATACAAATTTATTGTAGGTAGAATTTAAATATATATATATATATATATATATATATATATATATTATTAATATTTATTAAAAATATTTATTGTTGAAAGTCTCACATCGCCTACCTCATGTTATTTTGTATGGTTTAAATACATGTTAGGCTACTCCACATATTGCCAATTGGTTTTATGTTGGAACCTTAACATGGTATCGAGTCAAAACCTAACATATTTTCGGTTATTATCATGGGTCAAGGGGCGTGTTGAAAGTCACACATCGCCTACTTCATGTCATTTGATATGGTTTAAATACATGTTAGAGCTACTCCACATATTGTCAATTGGTTTTATGTTGGAACCTTAACACTTATATATAATGTTTGTTTATTTTATTAAAATCTATATTTAAGTTTTAATTTGAAATTGAAATATTTTTATCATAGTACTATAATATTATAATTTTAAATTTATATAAATATTATTAATATTTGAAATTATTATTAATTTTAATATCAGTATTAATTAATTATTTATATTATTATTATTATTATTATTATTTCATTTATTAATATTAGTATTTTTTATGTTATCAAACGATATTTTATTCAAATATTAGTTAATAATTAATGTTATTTAAAATTTATAAAATTACAAATATACCTCTCTTAGAAACAATGTTAATATTAAAATATATTAATAAAAAAATTAATTATTATAATATAATTATTTAAATTTTGAAAATACAAATAATAAAAAGGTTTTAAAAAATTTAAAAACGTAAAATAAAAAAAAAATCATGATTTCTGGGAAACCAAGTTTTGACTTTTTTCAATGTCGACCAGTCAAAATAAAAAAGCAAATTCAGTATTCTGAAACCCAATTTTGATGTATTATTGTGAATAAGTTTAGCTTGATAAAAAAAAAGTATTTTTTTAATTATTTATGAAAAAAAAAAATCAGAATCTCTGTTTCACAGTTTTGTCCCATTTAAATGCTAAGTTTTTTTTTTTTTTCCATCTCACTTTTTACTCTCATGTTGCATGATATTGGAGAAATGATGATTTCATGTAACACAAACGGCCTTGGCACTTTTTGACTTTGTTGCCTATTGCCTACTGCCTACTGCCTATTGGGCATGAAGAGTTCAGATTCAGTCTCACCGTTGGACCAGATAATTATGTTGACAAAATTAAAATCACTGCATACATATGCCCTGCCAATTCCACCTTTGTATGAGTGCTTCTCCAACAAGTTGCCTTCCAATGATGCTCCAAGATCCTCAACATGCTAGGCTACCACTCCCTTATCCTACCTCAACCCTAGTGTCCAGTTACAACTTTTCTTCTCCTCCATAATTTATATTATTACTATTATATTTTTTTCCACTAGAATATAGCCAGTATTATACAGTGTTTCACCTTGACTCAGTTACTGAGTTTGTTAACAGTAACTTGTTTACTGCTGTAAATGAAGTAAAAATACTTAAAAGTTTTGACCTGAGAAATTAAAGGGTAAATTTTTACAGTAATATAATAGATTTTTATAAATAATAAATTTATTCTTAGTATTTTGTTTGGATGAAATGATAAAATGAAAAAAGCGGAGAAATCAAGTAAAAATGAAAATAATTATTTGAATTAGGTGAAAGATAATAAAAATAAGACAAATTTATTTTATTATTTATTATTTATTATAATAAAAATAAAAATTACTAATAAAAATTACTATATAGTAAATTATGTAACACACATATTAATAAAATATTTAATATGTATTTTTATGTTACAACATAATTTTAATTTTAAAGATATAATTTGTTATGAAGAGTTTTTCACTTTTTTGTTCATGAGATAATTTTGTAATTTTTTAAAAATAAAATATATTGAATTTTAATTTTTTTTAATTTATTTAATTTTAAAAGTATGGATAAAATATTTTAATTTATTCAATTTATATATATTTTTAATATATTTTAATTACAATTAAATATAAAAATTATCATTAATATATTTTTTGAATTAGATCTTTATTTATATTGGTTACATTAGATTAAAGTGAATCATGATAGATTTGATTGAGTCAAATAAAATATTAAACTATTAAAGTCGATGTTAGTTGAGTTAAGTAGGATTAAATTGAATTATGATAAGTCAATTTAAATAAAAATAAATTAATTTATATTATGATAATTTAAATTACAGTGGGTTAAGATATAAACAATCAAATAGAGATAAGTTAGATTAAATTATGATAAATTAAGATCAGTCATATTAAGTCATGGTTGAGTAATAGTTAACTAGATAAATTATGTTGAAAAGTTTGATTAAGATCAGAATTAGATTGTATTAAATATTGATGAGTCATGTTAAATCAAGATGAAACAATAAATATAATTAAAACATGTCGAATTAAATTGAGTTTTATTAAATTAGGGATAAACTAATTTAATTAAACAATACTAACTTAGTAATATTAGATAAAATTATTTGAATAAAGTTTAGATAAAAGTGTTAAGTTAATATTAAGTTATATAAAACATATTAAAAAAAAGAAAAACTTAAAAGAAAATATATAAAATATTTAATTTTTTAATAATATATGAAAATTTTATTTTAAATTAAAAAATTATTATACATTCTAACATTATATTTTATTATATAAAACATTTTAAATTCTAATTGTTTTTACAAAATTTTAATTAAACAATAATAATAAATGTAACTTAAAGATAACTTTACGGTATCTTTTCTCCCCACTTATAATAAAAAATAAAAATAAAAGCGTATAAATGTGTATATTCTTTAACTTCTAAAAATATAAAAAATTGTTTTAATTTCTAATTTTTGTAAAACTATTTTATCTTTATAATATAATTTCAATCACCAGATTATTAATAAAAAAATCAGAAATTATTTTATCTGGAAACTATATTAACAAAGATTAATATAAATTTTTATAAATATAAAATAGTTTTTTTATAAAAATTAAATTAAAGACAACTAATTAATTCAAGACTTAAATTACTTATTTACTAATTATTAATTGAAGAAATCAGTAACTGTCATTTTCACATTAAAAAAGGAAAAATAACTAGGACTTGTTGTAAAAAAATATTACTGAACTTCTTATTGGAATTATCCTAACATATTTTAGATGCTTTTTTTTTTTCTTCTTCTCAAACCGTGAAAAGAAAAAAAAGTCATTTCAAACTCACAAAAAAAAAAAAAAATATATATATATATATATATATATATATATATATATATATATATATAAGTGTAAAAAAAAAAAACAATTGTGCAATCTTCTTCCTTTTACTTTCTCTCACTAGAAAAGATAAATCATCTGACACAGAAACGCACTCTCTTTCTCCTGCTTAAAAAAACACCCCAAAACAATGGTGCTTCTGTCTTCATTCTTTCAAGCATAGAAAGAGAAAAGCAACAGTAGTAGCACATCCACAGTGGTAGCGGAAGCTGCTACCCGTTTTCCATTAATTTGGGAAAACAAAACCCGACCCGTTTTTGTTTTCTTTCCTTTTTCAAATCTCCAAAAGAAGGTGTGTTATACACTGTTTTCTTGTCCCCTCCGTGAAAAAAGAAAATACCTAAGCTTGTAACCGTGGTAGTTTTCCGTTGCAATTTGCTTCAGTTTTTTCTGCTCTAGAGTGAGTGCTTGTGCTGATTCCGAGTTCATACTGTGCTTTTTTTCTGGCTTTGGCTGAGATCCGTTACCCTTTGGGATTTGTAGCTCCTTTAGTTGAGATCTGTTTGCTTTTGGAGTTTCTTTACTTGTTTGATTTCTGCTTGGTGTTTTTGCGTGGTTGCCAAATTTACCCGTGATATAAAAAGAAAAGGGGAAAATATACTGGTGCGTGTTACTTGCTCTTGGTGCTTGGTGCTTCAAGCCTTGACGAATGATGAAGTGTTGGGATGATGATTGGAACTTGGGGTGGTGGTTGAGTAGGGGTGGAAGGGAATGAAGAGTAGGAGTAGAGTAATTGTGTTTTGCAGTGAAACTGGTATTGGTTGACAATTGAATGGTGGTGATTTCTGAGGTTTTTTGGCATGTCTCGTTGATGGTTGAGAGAACTTTGTATCTGGGGTGATCGTGGTTTGTTCAGATTCAAATTTGTTTGGGTTGGTGAAGGGAGTAAAGGTAAAAGAATAATGATATTGTGGAGTAGGCAAGAAGAGAAGAAAAGGATTTTTGTTTGGTTTGGGGTGAAGGTTGTGGGAATTTTATTGGTGCCAAATTGGTCTACTTAATAGTGTGCTTAAATCATTGATTTAGGGACTGGGTTTAAGGTTTGAAATAGCTGAGACTTTACCGAAATGAAACTTTCGTCAGCTGGTTTTAGTCCTCCATCCCAGGAAGGTACGTGTAGTCTTGTTTGCATATTCTTCTTCTATTTCTACTCTCTTTGTATTTTCCATTTCTATTTTTGGCGAACTAGTTATTTTTTCGTCATTCATATGGGATTTGTGCTCAGTACATACAGTTTTATGTATAACATGGTGGTGGGGCTCCCTTGATTTTCTTGAGATGGGGATTTGGAAATTTTACGTCTTGTGACTACAGTGTTTCTTCTTTCTGCTGTAGTTCAGAGGTCAGAGAAGGAATTTGCTTAATTTAACCGAGCACCCTCCTCTTTGCCTTAGATATTTTGGGATCTTGTTTTTGTCAACATTGTGACAACATCCATTTTGTCCAATGAAGCATTTAGGGAGCAGTTATAAACTTTAAGTACCATATTCATGACAATGGGTTGGTTTTTGCAGGAGAAAAGCGAGTTCTAGATTCAGAACTTTGGCATGCTTGTGCTGGTCCACTTATTTCTTTACCAGCTGTTGGAAGCCGAGTAGTTTACTTTCCACAAGGTCACAGCGAACAGGTGAGTTGGATTATAGTCTCCACAGAGAAATCCTTGTTGGTGTTATCTGGATTTTCTTTTGCTACCGTATGTTAAAAGTAATAAAACGAATCTTCAGCCCCTGGACATGGAGATACTGTTTTGGATGCTCGCCTTCAAAATTGCGACACAAATTGGTTCTTTTGTCTTGTCCCATTGGTATATGACCCTGTGGGCTGCAAATCTAAGGGCGGGGTTACTTCTACACTATTATAACAAAACTGATTTTTAGTCTTTCATTATAGTTACTCTTGTGTATACTAATCCTTAACTCACTCTTCAGCACAATTATTTAGTCTTAAACTGTTGCAGTTTAATGAATTAGCTCTTAGAAACTAGAAATATAATATCTCCACGACATTTTACATTTTATAACATCTATGTTCTTTTTCTGCATAAGCTACATGCATGCATAACCTGAACCATCATTTTTCTGGTTAGGTTGCTGTGTCTACCAACAGGGAAGTGGATGGCCATATACCCAACTATCCAAGCTTACCACCACAGCTTATTTGTCAACTTCATAATGTGACTATGCATGTAAGGCTTGTTTATTTATTTGTTTTTGTTTTTTGCAGAAATAAGCTTGACTCTTTCGATTTTCTTGTTTTTAAATTCTCCCTACGTTTCTGCACTCTCTTTTTCTTTTAACTATTTGATCAATTCTCTTGTATTCAGGCAGATACCGAGACAGATGAAGTATATGCCCAGATGACTTTGCAACCTCTGAGTCCTGTACGATTCTCTTTCTTAGCTGATAACTTGTTGGGTTAGTATTCTTAGCTTCTAATATCAACTTTTGACTATGGCCGTGTTTTCAGCAAGAGCAGAAGGAGGCATACCTTCCAGCAGAGTTGGGCACTCCAAGTAAACAGCCAACAAACTACTTTTGCAAAATTCTGACAGCCAGTGACACTAGCACTCATGGAGGATTTTCTGTTCCTCGTAGGGCAGCTGAAAAAGTTTTTCCTCCATTGGTAAAATTTTATAGCATCTTGCTTTAAAACTTTTAACTTGTTCATAAAATATTGGAATTTCTTAACTATATTATTTTGATCTACAGGACTTTTCCCAACAACCTCCTGCTCAAGAGTTAATTGCAAGGGATTTGCATGGAAATGAATGGAAATTCAGACATATCTTCCGAGGTGGGTTATAAAATTGATGTATCTTGCCTCTTTTTAATTGCAAATGTAGGAATTGATTTTCAATTTTAAATTATTTATTTATTTTTACTTCAGTATGTTTCTTGCTGGTTCCTAGCGGGATAGTGCTTCTGCTGTATGTTTCTTGCTGGTTGCTGAAAATAAGTTCTCTTTCCATTTGGAATGTTTGAATTAGATGTTTTTCTCTGCAGGTCAGCCCAAAAGGCATCTACTTACAACTGGATGGAGTGTTTTTGTGAGTGCTAAAAGACTTGTTGCTGGTGATTCAGTTCTGTTTATCTGGTAAGTAATTTATTGCTCCTCTCATTTTAAGTTTTATATTATGTGTATTGAAATTAGTCTTTGGCAGTTATATTTGGTTGGCTGATTTTTCTGTCTGAACCAAGACATATGATTTGTATGTAATTTGGCCATCCAAAAGAATATGGCGAAATATTTTTATTGACATGTTTCACGTTTTGTAATATTTTAATCAGTTTATATTTTGAGCCAGGGATCCTTAATTGGCTTGCCATTGAAGTATCAACTTCCTGATCATCGAGATGGTTCAGGCTATATGAGCTGTTGCTTCTTATTTCTTCTAGCTACTTGCTTTTTAATCCCAACTTGAATGATGTTATGTTGGGCATAATTACTTTTATTTTTAATTATCTAATAGTTGGTCTAATTAAAGTCTGTTCTCTTGAACAGGAATGAAAAGAATCAATTGCTTCTCGGCATTCGGCGGGCTAATCGTCCTCAACCTGTAATGCCTTCATCAGTACTGTCAAGTGATAGCATGCACTTGGGGCTTCTTGCTGCTGCAGCTCATGCAGCTGCTACTAATAGTCGCTTCACCATCTTTTATAACCCACGGTACAACTGCCATACATTTGTAGACTTTCATGTTGGGATTTATTTACTTAAATTGACAATTTTTTTTTTCCTTTCGAATTCAGAGCTAGCCCATCAGAATTTGTCATACCTTTAGCAAAGTATGTAAAAGCGGTGTATCATACTCGAGTTTCAGTTGGTATGCGCTTCAGGATGCTGTTTGAAACAGAGGAATCTAGTGTTCGGCGGTATGTTCATGTAATTTATTAAAAATGATAGTCGAATTGCTTTACTTTGTTATTTTGGTAATTAAGGCCAATATGCAATATGATTTAAGAAATCATACATAGTTTAAATTTTCTAAAATTGCAACATATACTTGTGGAAAAATTCTTGGCTTGTTTTGAATGATGTCTTATGATTTTCTTTTGAGGTGCTTATAGTCACTCATACTTTTGTACATGATATAATAGGAGAGCCAAATAATCTATGGGGCTAGGCGCCATGGAAAACATTAATCTCCTTACTATGGAGCTTATCCTGATAAACATATATGTCATAAATATTAAATTAATGACTTTCATTATGTGCTTATTCTAATAAACAGAATAATATGGAGTTTTATTCTAAGTGTTGCTATGCCTATAAGATTTGCTCTAAAAATAGGTTGAATTCATGTCTTGTTTCCAATGGCATATGAAATAAATGGTCTGTCATTTTGTAGAGTTGGTGGTGATACATGTTTGTACTACTAATTTGTATGTGTATCTGTATGTTCATGCAGATACATGGGCACAATAACAGGCATAAGTGACTTGGATGTCCGGTGGCCAAATTCCCATTGGCGTTCAGTCAAGGTCTATCTAGAATAATTTATGAGATATCTCATTTTGTTCTACAGTAATATTGAATGTTACTTGTATCATCAGTAAGATTAAATAATATCTTGCTTATGTAGCAGTTTCTGTCTCATTAAGGTTTGAGGAAGGATTTTAAAAATGCTTTTGACTTGAGTTGCAGGTTGGCTGGGATGAATCCACAGCAGGAGAGAGGCAACCTCGGGTGTCTTTATGGGAAATTGAACCATTAACAACATTTCCAATGTATCCATCTCCATTCCCCCTTAGGCTCAAGAGACCATGGCCTCCTGGACTGCCTTCATTCCATGGTATGCTACTGGCCAAATTTGAGCTGAAAATATTAATGAGCTGGGTGATGATGACCTGGTCTATTTTCAACTTGAAAGCAGTTTTATATTTATAAGTCAATTTCATCTAATGTATCAATGGAAAGACATTCTCATTGACTCTTCCCTGTGGATCGTAGCAGGCTTGAAGGATGATGATTTTGGTATAAATTCTTCACTAATGTGGCTTCGAGACACAGACAGAGGTCTTCCATCTCTTAATTTTCCGGGGATTGGTGTTAGTCCTTGGATGCAGCCAAGGCTTGATCCTTCAATGGTGAATTATCCAACAGATGTGTACCAAGCTGTGGCTGCCGCTGCACTTCAGGATATGTGGACTTCAGATCCTTCCAAACAGCATCCTACTTCCGTACTTCAATATCAGCAACCACAGAACTTCCCGAGCCGGTCATCTCCCTTAATGCAGACTCAAATCTTGCAGCAGTCTTATTCAAATAGTCAAGAAATACCACATCCATCTCAATCTCAGGCTCAAACTCAAACACATTTTCAGCAGCATCTACAGCATCAGCACTCATTCAATAATCAGAATCAGCACCATCTTCTGCAGCAACAGCCACAACAAACACAACAGCCACAACAAACACAACAGCAACAACCGCAACTACAGCAACAACAGGTGGTAGATCATCAGCAGATTTCAAGTGCTGTCTCTACAATGTCTCAGTTTGTTTCAGCATCTCAATCTCAATCGCCACCCATGCAAGCTATCTCTTCACTGCACCATCAGCAAAGTATTTCTGATTCAAACGGGAACCCTGCAACTAATTCTATTGTTTCTCCCCTGCATAGTATATTGGGTTCATTTGCCCAGGATGAAACATCTCACCTTCTCAATCTTCCTAGGGCCTCTTGGGTTCCTGTTCAACCTTCAACTGCATGGCCACCCTCCAAGCGTGTTGCAGTTGATCCTCTCCTTTCTTCTGGGGCATCACAATGTGTTCTGCCTCAAGTGGAGCAGTTAGGGCAACCACAAAGTACTATAGCACAAAATGCTATTACATTGCCACCGTTTCCTGGTAGGGAGTGTGCTATAGAAGGAAGCTCCGATCCTCAAAATCATCTTTTGTTTGGTGTTAATATAGATCCCTCATCACTGCTAATGCATAATGGGTTGTCAAGCCTCAAGGGAATCAGCAGCAACAGTGGCCCACCGACTATACAATTTCAATCATCTAATTATCTCAACACCACAGGCCCTGATTCTTCAACGAATCCTGGAATCACACACAATATTGGTGAATCAGGCTTCCTGCAAACTCCAGAAAATGGAGGGCAAGGAAACCCACCGAAAAAAACCTTTGTGAAGGTGAGCTTTTCCAATGGGTGTATTTCCTTTCAAATTAAGCATTTTTTACTATATTTTTGTGATTGACAATAAAATTGGCCCCATATTTAGTCTTGATTTTTATGTGGCATATATATTTATTTGACAGGTTTACAAGTCAGGGTACATCGGAAGATCATTGGATATCACAAAATGCACCAGCTACCATGAGCTACGTCGTGAGCTTGCTCGCATGTTTGGCCTTGAAGGTGAGTTGGAGGACCCTGTGAGATCAGGCTGGCAGCTTGTATTCGTTGACCAAGAGAATGATGTTCTTCTCCTCGGTGATGGCCCATGGCCGTAAGTATTCTTGTTTCTTTTCTTTCTAAATGAAATCCCATGTCACTTCAGAATAGCTTTTGCATAATATTCATTGTTTACTATGTGTTCTTATCCTCGTTGTGGTGATAGCTAGTATATTTTGGGTTTCAAATCTCCTTAATTTTTGTGAAAGCAAATGACCAATTGACCATTTTTCTCTTCTCACATCTTTAATTTCATAATTGAATCTTTTGGTGTGACAGGGAATTTGTAAATAGTGTAGGGTGCATCAAGATACTCTCCCCTCAGGAAGTGCAGCAAATGGGTAACAATGGCCTTGAGCTTCTTAACTCAGTCCCAATTCAGAGGCTTTCCAGTGGCGTGTGTGAGGACTATGCAGGCCATGAGGACCCAAGAAGTATAAGCACTGGGATAACAACTGTGGGGTCTTTGAACTACTGAATGATATGACAATCAATACTATGAATCTCTTCTCTCACTTGTATTATTACTTCTACTTCACCCTTTGTCAATGGTGGGAAGTACTGCCAAGTTTTAGATTATAGGCTACTTATAAGCCTTCTGTTTTTGTTTTCATGTATTTGCTGCGTAGGACCATTTATAAGCTAAACATGTAACTATATTGCGTCTTGTCCATGCGCTATATACGATATATTGATTACTTAATCTGTTAGAATCTCAGTGTCTGAAAAGTGAAAATAGCTCGCTCTCCTATCTATCTATATTTAGTTGTTACTTTTATTTTACTCTTCGCATTGGGGGCATGTATAAATGTATTTGACCAAGAGGGTACTTGACAAGTGAAAGTAGTATTGGACTTCATTGGTAAACCTTATTATATTTAGATTGAGAGAGTAATAATCGAGGAAATTGTGGTGTTGGACTAATGGAACTTTTTGATATCTAAATATTTTTGGAAAGGTTGATGTGACACTTAAAACATGGAGAGGACACCAAAACCATGTGATGTGTCTCTCTTAACATAAAAGGACGGTGAACAGATCACTTTGTGCTTCCATTAATGTGAAAGTGGCCTGTTTTGTATTCTTCTTGGTTTTGGTCATGCACCCTTTCACTTTACCTGGGATGGATTTGCTTCATGAATGGCAAATCTGAAAGCTGTACATTTGTCCATTTCGACCCTGTTTATTCCTCCACGTACTAAGTATTTGGAATCTCAAACCTAAAAGCATCCGAATTTCGTGCCACCACTGAGGTATCCTTTGTTTGAGAGCTTGACAATTTGTTTCTTAATGATGAGAGGATTGTTGACTGATTGCTAGCTCCAAATCACTTACCTATAGGTCAGAGTCACGAACAGTGCTATTGCAACAGTTAAAGTGAACTCGATAAATCTTCATCTAGAAAGGATGGTTTTGGTTAAGATATTCTATGCACAAATCCTACACAGTTGTACCTTAACTGATGGGAGGAGGCAAAGAAATGACTACATGCGCATATTGACTCCATTTTCAGAAAGTTGTAAGCATGATAGTAAACATTATTCATAATAATAACTATTAAATGTTGTGTTAGGTATCAACAAATTCACAAATTTCCTAATATAATTTCAGTGGCTTGCCGTATACAAATTTGTGTGTGGCCATTTTTAACACGGCTGGTGTATTCAAGGTTATAAAAAACTACCCGTTTTTTTTTTTCAAATATGTTCTTGTCACCTTTTAATTTATTATTTTGAGAGATAAAATATTGCATACAAAATTAAGATAACATTTCTACTCAATGGCATATCTTCTAAGGGTGCATAATCCCTCTTTATATTGTTTTTAACAATTTTTCGTAATATTTTTATATTGTTTTTAAATTTGTTACCAAAACATCTATTTTTAAAATGTTTATTTATCAATTATTGATGATTTTCTGTCATTGCATAAACATCATGTAATTGAAATATAATATTTCCTTTATTATTATAATTATAGATAACTTTATGTTAATATTATATTTAATGATTTTGCTTTTAATATACAATTGCTATACAGCGGTTGGAATCCAAGACTAAAAGCATACTATCCAGACAACCCTAATCCATCCTAACTATATGTGATTTGATTTTATAATGTCAATAGGTGGGACTAATGTTAAATTTATATTCATACATAAACTACTTTATTAATTAGTTATTATTTTAAAAGATATTTTTTTATGCTTCAAATTCAGTTTTACGACTTTTTATATTCTTTCTCCACCTTGAAAGATTTATACAACATACTTTTATATTCTTTAGATTTTATAGCAATTTGTTTTTAAATTTTGCAAAGGCTTTGAAAAATATAACTCGGATATTTTATTATTCTAAAGTATTAGTATGTACATTCATTTTAGTGGGTAGATTCTTTAACATTTATCTTCCCAAAATAATTCGAAGATTATTAAGAAAAATTTACCTTCCATAATACAAAATATGTTGGAAAGATTAAGTTTTCATCATTATCAAGATATCTCTAATTAATCCAATTACTTGCACTATGTTCTTATTTGCTAATTGAATCATTAGAGTTGTGTTTATAAAACCAAAAGATAAAAAAGAATAAATACTTGAAAAAATAACATTAGTAGATGCTACTAAATCAATCATGATATTTTAAAATTTATTATGACCAATTATATATGTAATTGTAAATAATCCTAGTTCATTACATCTTTTTTAAAATATTTTGTTGAATGTTACTAACGCTAAAACATTTCTTCCTAAGTCAACGTTTTATTTCCGTTCAATCTCCTTTTGTGTACACATATCCTTTGAGAGTTTAACATATTTAGTAATCTATTTTATTGCTTAAAGTAAAAGGATGTTGATTTCAATCTTCTAAAAAACATGCAATATTTCTTTATCAAACTCTTCTTCCTTCTTTGAATGCATACAACCTTTGTTTGAAGAAATAAAATATGTATTTTATCTTGAAGAATAGGACAATCAACAATTGGTTGATGAAGTTTTAACTACAATTTTGCATATATTTTTTAGCTTTTTTTTATTCCTTTTATTGTATGTCTTTCATTGAGATAGACCCATCAATATTTGTGTTTGTTCTAAGTATCCTGGGACTCATTTATTTCTCACATTTTAATTACCCAATTTCAATCAAATCTTAAGAGAATCTTGTGCCCACTTTTTTAAAAGATCTATACACACTTTTGCAACAAAAATATTAAAGGCCTTCTTTCAATCTTTTTGGTGATCTCTCTTATATTGAAATTTGCATTAACTATGTTCAATTGGTTAATCATTTATGTATTGGTTGTTAGGATTTCTAGATGATATTGTTCTTTGTTTCTTTGTAATAACACTGTTCTTGTCTGTATCTATGAGTATGGTTCATGGATATTGTGTTTAGTAATTGATGTTTGTTACTGGTTATGTAAAAGTGTGATTCTTGGAGGTGATAAGAAAACTCTTATAGTAGATAAGTGTTTCTACTAGTTGTAAACAAATTGTGTTTAATGAACTCTTGGTTGGTATGGTCAAGGATTGAATGTAACTCTATATGAGTGAACCAATATAAATTTTTTGCGTGGATTCTCTTTACCTCTATCCTTTTTTTTAATGTTGTTGCACATTAATTTGGATATTATTTGCTTCAACTAAAAAACTCATTCAATTATGACTTGAAAAAAAAATTATTCTTGGTTCCAACAGTTGATATTTGTGAAAAGTTTTCAATTCAACCCCCTATTGAAATTCGGTCATTAATTTTAAAAACAATGGCTAAGATTAAGAAGTGATGAATTGATCTTTTTCAAATCTTTTTCCAAAACTCAATTCTCTAAGAATAGAATCAAACATTTCAAAGATTAATAGACTTAACTCTTTAAAGAATCAATTAAAAGACAAGATAGCAAGAATGAGAAGGAGACAACACACAACAATTTATACTGGTTCATCCAATTTCTTGAGATACATCTAGTTTTTAGCTAAACCTAATTAAGTTAACCACTAAAATTAGAGTTGAATTACAAGTATACTAGTAGAATACTCCTATCTACTACAATAGAGCCTTGATCCTCCAAGAACTACTCTTGATTATACCATGACTCAATCCCAATCACCAAACACCAGTAACTCCACTAGGTACCCACAAGAAATCCAAACAATAGAAAGAGATCACCTGAAAATGATTTGTACAAACACAATCTAAATGCAATGATTCAAACCCAAGTGAATCACTTCCAAGAAAGAGTATGATGCCTCAAGATTTTCTTCAAAACAGTTTCATAACATAAGCACAAAAGACTCTCTCAAATTTCCTCTCAAAACTTGCTTGAAAGATTAATGATATCATATATTTTAAAATGAAAGAGAGAAATTGTTTATAGAGTTTTCTGACAATTTTAATCGATTAAAAAGTGGCTTTAATAGATTAAATTCACTTAATCAATCATTTAATCTATTATTTCGTATTTTTAATCTATTAAAACAGTAAAGTTAATATATATATATATATATATATATAGTATGTTATTTTATTTGATAAAAAAACTTATTAATCAATTAAAATAGAGCAACTAAGAAGTTTAATGAAATCAATGATACATTTTAACTAATAAAAAAGAAAGTAAGATCCTTACAAAGTTAGAGAGTTATTTTAACTAATATAAACATGTTTTAAGTGATTAAAACAACAAGAGAAAAAAATCTTTCTAAGTAAAGAGCACATTTTAATTGATAACACATCATACTAATAAATTAAAATAATGTAGCACAAAACTCACTAAGTTACTAAGACCATTTTAACAAATAAAAAGATGATTTAATTGATTAATTTTTTGAAACCTATTTTTATAAAACTTGATCAAGAACATTATAACTGATGAAAAACAAGGTTTAATTGATTAATTTGAGTATTTATTAATTAAAAATGTGAAACTAAGTTGTTTAAATAGATTAAAGCAAATTTTAACAAATTAAAGGTAGTGAGGCATCCACTTTATCCTAGGAGATGATTGAATTGAGATAAAATCAATGCTTACACACCAAAAGCCCCTAGGACACACAAGATATATTACAAAACACACAACACCACTGACACATTTTTCTTGACTTTGACTTCATTAAATCTAACATGATGCATTACATTCATCAATTAATACTAACAAGAATTATTGAACTGGTTTTGGTTAATGGTGGTTGCTAGTTATCTAACTTGAGTCTCTAGAGATTTTATGCTAGGCTCAGCCCTTTGTTGAAAGTGTAGTGTACTCATTGTCATTTTTCTTATAAATTCCTCTAAAGATAGTTGATTTTTAGTGTTGGAGGATGCATTGTGTGATGCTTGTCCAAACTATAGGTGATTATTTTGTTTCTTGCTTTTATACGATGGAGGAGATTGAGAAAATTGTGGAGGCATGTTTGATGTGGATGGAATGGTTTTTGTGGAGGTGGTTATTGATAATTAGGTTGAGGAGGGTAATAATTAGGATGCTATAAGGTATTGTCATAATTTTCCCACTTCAAGTCTGGGTGGTTTTTCCAATTTAAGTTGTATTCATTAGAGCTTAAATAAACATGTTATATATGTTGTTATGGAGAAAATTTCTAAAATTGTGCAGCACCAAAGACTTTGGGAACATTCATATGTAATATGTGTAAATGAAGTGTATATCTCACACATTGCTTTAACCAAAAATCAATTTTGTTGTGACATGATTTGTCATTGAGGGTGTACTTGTGCGTATTGTTTAATCATTGAAGCTAAATTATCAATTTTGTTCACGAGTTGTTGGTGTTTCATGGAATAATTAGGTTATACCTAAAAAAATACTCTTAACAATTGTGTTTTCTCTAATAAAGAATTGTTGAAAATTATTCAAAATGGTTGCAATCAATTGTCTTATCATTACGAGAGTTTTATTCACAAGAGTTCTACTACTTATTACATTAATCATATTCTTCTTCATAATAATTAGTCCTTCATAAAAGTATTGGATTAGAAGTTGTTCATAGGGATGTGAAAATGGGTTAGACCCGACAACCCATTTTTGTGAGTCCCACTTAACCCGTCAACTTGACAGGCTAAGGGTGGGACAAGACAAATTGACCTACTTGGTCCACTTTAAAATAATATTATTATATTAAAATTAAAACAAAAAGAATTATAATTAAAAATATTATTCTTTTTGTGTTATTTTGTTCAAATATGTAAAATATACTATAATATAATAATTTAAATTATAAATACTAACCAATTAAATTTAAATTTTTTATTATAATTGAATATTTTAACATACAAATGAAGTAAATTTTAATTTATCTAATAAAATATTAATTAATGAATGCAAACTTAAAAAATATTTATATAATTAAAAGTGTATTAAAAAAAGAAATATAAAAAATTATATAGAAAAAAATTGGTGGGATGGACCATTAGCTTGCCAATCTACCTTTTGGTAAGACGGATTAGAGTGTTAGTTTGTCTTGTCTATAATAAATTAGTCAACTTTACATTGTTTTTTGCATGCTAGAGGTTAGATATGTCAAAATAAGATGGATTGTCTCGTTTTACTACCCTTAGTTTATCACTAATTTGGTGATGGACACAACTTGAACGTAGTCTTTTAAATCTTTCTCAACATTTAAAAAAACTCTCTTTTAAGTTTTCTTGTGTCATAAATTTCCTTCTTAATGACAATAAGTTTAGATGACGGAAAGAATTTTTATAAGAACATTCTCTTCAAACTATCTCATCTTTGAAATTAGGCCAATAATGAAGTAAAACATATGAAGAAAATTTGTACAGTGACCATGTCCTCGTTGAGAAAAAAAATTAATGATTACTAACGGAAACAAACAAAATTAATAAAGTTTATTATTGTACATAATTCACTAAGTGAGATAAATTTCTTTAAGTGAAATAAATTTATTGAGCAAAATTGTCAAAGGTAAAACCTAGTTAGTGTTGAGTTGAAACATACTGTAAAACATAATACACTAATCCATTGAGTGAAAAAAAAAACATGGATGAAATTAATGACAATAATAAAAAGTTTTACAATTTTTTAGTTATGATATAAAATAAATAAATTGAATCAACAAAATTTATGCAAAATAACTCTTCCAATTAAATCTAATTGACCTAAAATAACATCAATTATTCATGGTGCCATTTTGATCAAAAATACGTTTTGTCTCCTAAATAAATCTTGCAATTCTAAACAAGAAATATGTAACAATAAAGGGAAAACTTATATCCTATATTCTCAATAAACATTAGTGACTTATAATTGATCAAATTTTTTGTTGTAAAAGAGTTAAAAAAAGGGATTTATGAGTTTTTATGTCTAATCTCTAATTAAGAGCAATTAATAGAGTAAATTTAATTAAAAATGGTAAACAAAATAATAAAATATTAAAAGTCTCTTACTAGTAGTGAATTATCTAGTCTAATCTCCACTTTACATTATTGATTATGTTTGATATTTAAATCTAAATGTAATCATAAGATAAACCTAAAAGAATTTTAATTTTAATCATTCACAATTTAATTAGCCTGTCTCCTTAATTCACTATATTCAAAACCTAAAATTGATTTAAAATGTAATTGATAAGTTCAATTGAACAATTTTAATTATAATTTATTTATTAAATTATAAATGGTTAAAATAATGAAAGAATCAAATATCAATTAATAATTTAAAATTGAAATAGAAAATTAATCTTGGAAAACTAAAAATTCCTAACAAAGTAATAGAAAACAATAGAGAATGTGAATTTCATGAATGGAAAGGAAATCATCAGAGAAGAGAATAAATCTAATCTTAAAGGGTCTAAACACTAAATTTGGACTGTATGTAGAACTTGAAGGGTCTAGAGAAAAAAAATAATTGAAACTAAATTAAAATAATGATGATAATAATAATGATAATAATAATAATAATAATAATAACGTGGGCCTGAACATTTTTTACCCTTCGGTCCAGCGGCTTGACTGGGGAGTAGCAAATTTTCATAGTAGTTATCCACAGAAAATTAGTCTTTTTATTTTATTTGTTGTAGTTTTGATTAAAAAAGGATAAACACTTTTGGGCTTGGGTCCAGTCCCAAACCCGATACCCGATTGATGTTCTAGGGTTTGTGTAAGTGGAATTGCGAGACCGTTCTCTACATATTTGAAGAGGCGTCCAAGTATACGTGTTTCTCCGCCGTCGCCACTCGCAAGTCACAATGGTAATTGCAATTTCGTTTACTCGTTCTCTCCTTTATATGATGTTTAATCGTCTGGAATCCGATGAATGATGTTCTTTATGTCCACCTGGTTTGACATTACAGCCTAAGCAGATCCATGAGATTAAGGATTTCCTTCTGACAGCGCGGAGGAAGGATGCGAGGTCGGTGAAAATCAAGAGGAGTAGGGATGTTGTTAAGTTCAAGGTCCGATGCTCCAAGTATCTGTACACGCTTTGTGTCTTTGACCCTGAGAAAGCCGATAAATTGAAGCAATCTCTTCCTCCCGGTTAGTTACTTACAACTAATTACCATGCATTTTTTAACTATTCCTAGATTAGATATAATTCAAATTATGATTATGAATGTGAATGTTATATTTGATTTTCAGGTTTGAGTGTTCAAGACCTGTAAACTTGCTGCGGCAACGATTTATTCTCTTTCTGTTCCTTCATGTTCTAGATTTTGTGGCTTGATTTTTGTATTCTGGTATTTGTTACGAGGACATGGACATGGACATGGTTGTTTTAATTTTGTTATGAAATGTGGAATTTTTAATTTTGAGCACAATTCAATTGAGCATACAAATTTATCATTATAATAACGATACTAACTAGAAAAATCGAGCTAATTCACTGGTTAATGCAGTTTCTTGGCATGATTTAGAGTCTTTCGCCGAAACTCCAAGTAAATGCTTTTATTACTGTCGCAGCTTTGGTCAAATGTGATGTGAAATAAGTGCACTTAATTGTCATCGTGTGGTTTTAGACATTCTTTGTTTGCGGATGTTGATTAAGAGAAAGAGGAATAATAATATCTAGATTGATAGTTATTCGCCATGAACTGACACACTTGTTGGGTAGTTGTTTCTGTTCTCTTAGCTTTGAAATGGTATATATCTACATATTTGGTTTTACATATTACCAGATATAATTAATTGTAATAGATTTGAGAGGCTTTTTATAAATAGTATTTTCAATAAAATAGTTTATCATGCACTAAAATTATAAAATGGGATCGTAGACATTTGTGTTGTTCAACATAAACTCATGGATGATGGTGTTGATCCGGATGTTAAACCACTAAAATTGGCCAGGGACTCGTGAATCATGACCCATAACAATACATAAACCATTATGTCACAAGGGGGATTTTATTAAATTAGAATGATAATTGTCAAGATATTTTTGGATTGTACATATTGTAACTTTTTCAAACAAGCAAAATGTGTCATCAAAGATGAGTGTAATATTTTAAATGATGAAGGAATATTTTGTAGAGCTCTAAAGAGGAGAGATATTGAACAAAATCCTAAGGTAAAAAGGAGGAAGATATTAATTCTTATTGTGCAAAGAAAACACCAAAATCGAAATTGAGGTGGCTTTTGCTTCTTACTCGTCTTCTTTATGTTATTATAAAGAATAATTATACATAAATTATCATAAATAATTTTAATGTTGTTTTTTTATATAGATAAATATTAATAATTTTATATTATATCTTTCAAAATAATTATTATTGGTTGAGTATATATTTAATTTTTTATATTTAAATCAAAATATGTATTTTAAAAAAATTGATAACTTTTTTTTTCTTTCATATAAAATACTTATAATATTATTATTAATATTTATTATAATATCGTATTCAATCTTTTAATGATATGTATAAGTTAATTTTTTTTTAAAATTGACATTTTAAAATGTTAATAAATATAAATATATAATTTATAAATAAATATTTAATAAGTTAATTCTTATTTAAATAATGTAAAATAATAAAAACTTTAATTAACAATCATTTAAAAATGTTAATATTTCAAAATATAATTATTTAATTAAGATAAATTTTGATACAAGGTAAATAAGAATAAAATAATTTAGAAAATAAGATATTATCAAAACAAACTAAAAATAAAATGATTTTATGTATTATTAAGAACGATAGACAGTATTTTTAGAAAGATAAAGAAATAAAAATTTATCTTAATGTGCTTACGAGATTATTGAAGGGATTAGGAAAATTAAAGTGGTAGAAAAGATTAAAATAATTTGAAAAAGAGAGAAGAACCACGAAAGAGTGGAGAGTGAGGTAAGAGAAAAATAAAAGTATAGTGAAAAAAAAAAAAAAATATATATATATATATATATATATATATATATATATATATTTAGTGAGACAAAAAATTAGGAGTGTGGAATAAATAAGAAATAATATTTTGTATAATATGAGGAAAAAAAAAACTCAAAATAAGTTTCTTATTTTAAGATTTAGGTTTTAATATAAAGTTAGGATTGACGATTTTATTACCCATTTCCATCCCTTCCCATTTTTGAAAGCAAAAGAAAAACTTTCATAAATATTCCATCAATTCGGTTTTTTTCCTAAACCTTGGGGATGGGTCCATTAATTCCCATACGTGTGGCTTGAAGTGTTATTATTAATTTTTTAGGATTAAAATAAAAAGAAGATTGATCACTTAAATTTGGAAACTTAACATAAAGAAGAAAGAGAATCACACATAAAATGATAAAAAAAACTATTCAATCTTATAAATATTAGTCTTTAAACACTAAAATTGATATATTAAAAATAGTTTTTAAAAAATTATTTTATTTCCTCAAATTTTATATCTAAGAATTAAAATCTTATTTTCTCAATTTTGAAGAACTATAATGAGTTTTTTGTTTAGGATCATTCTGAATTTTCAAAAACATTTAGAAACTAAAAATATAATAAAGGCAATTCAACAAATTAGATGTCCACTTTAAGCTCACTCACTGTATTGAACTTTCAATTTGCGTTCAATGAAAAGTATTTAGATTCATTGAACGTTGATTTTAAATTGAATATAAGGAACTAACTCTGGGTTATGGTCCCTAACATCCAAATAAATGTTAAAGGAAATAATCTTCAATTTAAATTTATAAACAAAAAAAATCATCCCTAAAAGTTCTTAAAAAAATATTTATTATATTTTCACAACTCAATTTCTCAAAAATATTCGTTAAACAACCAATATAATAATATAGTAGTCTGTTTTTTCAAAACAGAGTTGTTAATGTAACATTTTTTTTTCTAATTTACTTTCTACCCTCCCCAAGTTCTTTATGCTTTTTATTATTCTTTTATTAGCCTTTTCTTGAATTTCTTAGAGTACATACCGTCTAGGGCTTCATCCCCAGGGATGGACAAGTACGGAGGGTTAATGAAGGCTGTTGGTTCAATAGCCAGTCTATACTCTACCCGAGTGATGCTGGCACGCTCCATGATAAGTGTATGAAGCGCATAACAGTCTTCCATGTTAATCTCTCTGGCTGAGATGCGGGCCATCAAGGTTGCATTGGCTTTGGTTGTTGTTGTAAAGATCCACAATGAAGTTGGCAACAAGGCTAGTTTTCCTCCAAAAATTCTACTAAAATATTCTTCAGCTGTGGACTCTTTAGCAGTAGAGGAAAAAGTGATTGGTAAATTCTTTAGGCCCAGTCTCATTTTCTTTTGTTCCAAGTGGTTGTTGGCTGGTCCACGTGCTCGACCCTACACTCATAATTTTCCCTATTTTTTTTTTATTAAGGGAAGCTATTTATCTCCTGAATTTAATACTTCTTCTACTTTAGCCAAATTGAATAATTTAAAATTTGAACTTTAATTCATAAAATAACTTGAATTTATCAATATCATAATAAAGTTTATAATTCTTGTTAAATTTGAATAGATATACAACCATAGTTTTGTATACTGATGATCCATATCAATTTTAAGAATAATAAATATAATTATGTTTTGATTATATAATACTTAATAAAATATTGTGAAACTTATGATTAAGTAAAAAATTTATAAAAGGCTATTAGAAAATCTATAAACACAAAACAAAACAATTTAATGCTTTGAAGAACATTAAATCATTTAATGTTCAAACATGTATCATCAATAATGACAAGGACGCCTAAGTATATAAAGTCAAACATTTTAATTCATTTCAGATATTTCTTTGATCATCATAAAAAAGGGAGAGATTGAAAGCAATGAGGGGGAGATTGATGACAATGTGAAACATGTCCCTACATTCCCAAGAGATGATTTTGATGATGATTCAAGTCAGCAACATTAAAGACTCAAGCAAACCTAAGATGATTCCCGAATACTTGATAAAGTCTTAGAATACTGGATATGGAGGTACAAATTGATGAAGTAATATTATGCATAAACCTCCAAAGTACAAGTGTGATAAAATTTCGTAACATGACATTTTTCACTGTCATAATTGATTATGATGCATCAAAATTGAGAAATTGATTTTTACCCCGACATAATCGATTATGCTGAGGAGATAATCGATTATGGCAGTTCAAAATTCAAAAAAATATATGTTTTGAAGAATAAATGTTTTTGAATATATCCTGATTTTTATCTACGAAAATATTAATGTCCAACGACCCTTTTCTGATGTTATTTTCCTATTTAAATAAGTTTTGATGAAAAATAAAAAATACACAATTACAGAATTCGAAAATTCAATTTATATTCTATCAGTTTTGAGAAAAAAATTCTGAGCAAGGTAACAGAGATATTTTATATGTTTTGAGAAAACCCTCTTCTCCATTGCCTAATGTGTTTTCATTGTTAATCACAATTGTTCTTAAAGGTTGACATTCTACAGACTTCTACAATTTGTTGTCTCCATTACCCAGGTGTAACTGTTCTTATTTTATTACCTTCATCCTTTGTGGGCTTAAGTGGTTGATTGTTAAATTCCATGTTTAGAGTTTAAGTAGTCACTGTCATTCTGTTGTGTTTTTTTTTTGTTTCTTGTGTGGAAACTGTTCATCCCTTTGATTTGTTCAGGGAGATGTTTTCATCCTTTGATTTGTTCAGAGGAGGTGTTCATCCTTAGTGGGTTTATAAGGGTGTGATTGTCTTTTGAATTAGTTTACTTTTTGCTGAGTTGATTGTAATTTGTGAACTGAATTTAAAAGATAGTAAATTGGGGTCACTCTTGTATTAAGAGTTGACTGGGAACTGGATGTAGGGTTGGTTATACCCGAACCAATATAAATCACTGTGTGCTCTTCTCTTTCCCTTATCCTTTTTCATTGCATTACTCTCCTTACACCCCTTATTTTTATCTCTATCTTTCTCTATCTTGTTGATATTTTATCTCTCTGATTATATCACTTCCGCTTTATCTTTGTTCAATTTGATAATTAAAATTGAATTAATAAATATTAGACATCTTAAAATAAATTTTTAATTTGGCATCTATTTTAATTTGTGCATCTATTCACCCCCCCCTTCTAGATGTCATTTGTCTAACAAGTTCAAGGTGATGGTTGAAAATGTGACTAGGTGGCATACTAGGCCAATTCGATTTGATAGAGGAGGAGATTTTATGTCAGCAGCTTATAAAATATTAAGAAGATGAAGGAATAAGGAGATATCTAAGAGCCTCGTACTCACCATAACAAAATGGTGTGGTTGAGAGAAAGAATTGAATTGTTCTTGACATGGTTTGAGCTATGTTAAAGACCAAAAATATACTAAAGAAGTTTTGGGCAGAAGTAGTACAATGTGCTATCTATGTGCAAAATAGGTGTCCACATGCAAAGTTCGATGAAATAACACCATAAGAGGCATGGAGTGATAAAAAACCAATTGTGTCTCATCTTAGAGTGTTCAGAAGTTTAGTTATGGAGTAGTTCCGTCTCAACAACGAACTAAGCTTGAAGACAGGGGTAGAAGTATGTGTTTATTGGTTATGATGAAACATCAAAAGCTTATAAGTTGTTAGAACCGATCAGTTAGAGGGTGGTTATAAATTATGATGTTCAATTTGATGAAACAAGTGAGTAGAAATGGGAAGAATCGAAGGACAACATAAGAGGCTGAGCTGCTGCACCACCAGTCGTTGTTAGCTCGGAAAGAGAAGAGAAGAACGAACCACAAACCAAAATGCGGAGTTTATGAGACTTGTATGATTTGACTGATAAGGTTCATCTTGTTTGTCTTTTAGCAGATTTCGAGGATATCACATTTGAGGAGGTTGTGTGATGAGAAATGGCGAGCTACCATGAATTTTAAGATTTGTGCTATTGATCGAAATGGAACTTGGATGATAATTGAGCTACTGAACAATGTTCAGCTTGTTGGCGTGAAATGGGTGTTCAAGAAGAAACTGAATGCACAAGGAGAAGCAGTGAGGTTTAAAGCTCGGCTGGTTGCAAAGGGCTACAAAACAAATGGTCGATCATGCAGATGGATGTCAAGTAGACGTTTTTGAATGGTGTGCTCAAGGAGGAGGTGCATGTTGAGCAACCACTTGGATATGTGAAGAAAGGTGAGGAGGAAAATATATTGAGAATGAAGAAGGCTCATTATGGGCTAAAGCAAGCTCCTCGGGCATGGAACAACCGGATAGATACCTACTTCAAGGAGAATGGGTTTATACAATATCCCTATGAACATGCTTTGTATGTGAAGAAGAATGGAGGTAATGTGATGTTTGTTGCACTATGTGTTGACGATCTCATTTATATGAGAAATAATCCTGCAATGATTCAAGAATTCAAACACGCAATGACAATTGAATTTGAGATGGCCGATCTTGGCATGATGAAGTTTTTTCTTGGCCTAGAAGACAAGAGGAGTCGGGGATATTTGTGTCCCATGAGGCGTATGCAAAGGAGATTTTGAACAAGTTTATGATGACCAGTTGTAATCTGGTCTCAACCCCCATGGAACCAAGGACGAAGGTTTCAAAATTTGATGGAGGAGATCGAGTTAATCTGAGCAGATTTCAGAGCCTAGTTGGAAGTCCTTGTTACCTCATAAGTATTAGACTCGATTTGTTGCTAAGTGTTAGGATTGTCAGTCAATTTATGGAGAATCCGAGCTACTCTCATTGGAAGATGTTGAAGCGAATATTTAAGGTATATCCGAGGTACAATGTCACTCATACTGTTGTATGCAAAGTCGAACGATTACTGACTTATTAGGTACTCGAATAGTGGTTGGTGTAGAAATGTGGATGATCAAAAAAGTACATCGGGGTATGTATTCTTTATGGGTAACACAAAATTTACCTGACTTTCGAAGAAACAACCCCTAACATTGTCAACGTGTGAAACTGAGTACGTAGCAGCATCGTCGAGTGTATACCATGTAGTGTGGCTTAGAAATTTGCTAAGCTCGATTGAGGAGAAACAACTTGAGACAACTGTAATCCAAGTTGATAACAAGTCAATCACTGAATTGACGAAAAATTTGGTCAATTATGAGAGAAGCAAGCACATTGATGTGCGTTTTCACTTCATCTGATAATATGCGCAGGAATGGAATGTGGAACTCATACATGTGGCGAGCCGAGATTAAGTTGTTGATATTTTCACAAAGCTACTACTCACTGTATTATTCGAGAATTGTAAGAGACTAATCGGGATGAAGGATGGAAGAAACTTGAGTGCTCGGGAACCAAAATACTTGACAAATTGACAAGTCGACAAGTAGGGAGGTCAAGAGATCGATCAAGCCGATCTTAATTTTATTGTAGAGAGATTTAATTTTATAGGAAAATTTTGTTGAAAAAAATTAAATTAAAAATATAATAAAAAGATAATTAATTTAAAAATTTATGGTGATAAAATTAAATAAAAAAGATAATTAAAAATTTATTGGAATATTTTTATATTGAAAACATCTTAGATGATTATTATTTAATATTAAAAAATTTTATTTTCTAAAATATGATTAGAAGTTTTTAACATTTTTACATAGACCATTATATTTCTCCTTTGAGAAATGTCAAATAATAAATGAGAGAGTATTTAAAAATTCTTTCTTATCATTGGATTATAAGAGCAAAATAAGATAAAGTGTAATTACTCGTGTTAAATTATGAAACACACGGTCCACCGACGTGCTGTTTCTGATCACTACGATCAAAATAGGTATGTTGTTTTTCTGATTATGCGAATCCAAATAGTTTTTGGAGCATTGCAGATGTTGCCATGTAAGACTGAACCCAATACCCTACCACGTAGGCGATTCCCTGAGCTTTCTTGCAGTTCTTAGCCAATTCAAAGTCCAATCCTAGTATGCATGTGATTGTGGTCCCCGTTCTTTTTCTCCACTTGGGCCAGTTACAAGGGGCAAGTTCACTTTTACAGCCTTGTGGAAACTTGTGTCATGCTCGCACCAAAACAGCCCAAGGCATATGCAATTGGCCCATTACATAGGATGGCTGTGGTGGCTAGTGAAAGGGTCCAGTCAATAAAAGGAAATCAGCACGCTCACTTAACAAACTTGTGCACATCTTTTTTCAATCCATGCCTATTTTATTCACGGCTTGTTCTTTTCAAATGTGTCTTCTCCCTCTAAATGTTGTCAGAGACATGAAAGTGGGGGCAACAGCAAGAAGTCCTTTATGGGTTTTTAAAGAGCCGAAAGCAAAATGCACGTAAACATGTGTATATAAAATCTTAAACACAACTCAGATTGTAAGAGTTTTAAACAAGCAGAAATTGTCCAGCACTTATTTATTGCGTATTATGGTTTATGAAGAAGTAGCTTTGTATATTTATTTATTTATTTATGTATTCATTCTTATTAATATATAGTGTGGTTTGTACAAATTGACAGCTATGGTCTTAAGAGCGAGACAGGAGACATAGCCTACTTTATTGTTTATAGCTTGTTGCACGCTCACAAGCAACCAAGCACATTTAACTTCTAGTTGCATCTCGTAATAAAGCTCCCCAAAGGGTCAAAACATGCCTTTGAATATCACAGAAAAAGCAACAAACTTTTACCGGTCTAAGTCTAGATTGGGTGTGAAAGAAAATTTTTGTAATGGTACCCAATAAAGTCACTGAACCACTTACTGGGTGCTAAAAAGCTCATTTTATTTACAATGCTTTAATTGGCAACTAAATCTTCCGGAAAACATGTCAATAATGAATATCAGGTGTTCAATAGAATCAACACTCAAATATGTGGTGGTATGGTACAAACATCGGGGTCTTGTGATTTTGCATACAAGCTTGCACCTTGTTAATTAAGGAGTAGAAAATTCGTACAAGAAACTCGTAATGTCACAAATAGCATCACTCTTCCAATTTCCCATCCATTCATCCATTAACTAGTCTGTCCTGCATCACTGATTTGAAATTGCACCCACAAATAACATAATCTCAAAGCAAAATCACAAGAAAATTTACATTCAATTAAAAAAAAAAAAAAAAGCCAGGTACATCAACGCAAACACTTCTCTCTCTTTTTCTTTTCTTTTTTTTCAAAAAGGACAGTTTGTGACTTGTAAACATCACTCAAGAATCACTTCAATGTAGTAGCACTCAGGTGTTTGAAAATTACAAGGTTTCAAGTAACGTATAAGATGATATGCCAATTTTGATGACCCAACATCATGTTTACTGAGGTGCATCTTCTAAGTGCAATCTTCAAGGTATATATCACAGCCAACCACAACATATGTAATTGGAAGAGGGTAATCGTCCTGTTTGGCGTATGTATTCTGCTTGAGCAACTGTTCTTTCTGCTTCTCTATTTTTTCTAGCTTCAGCTGCAGCACGTTTTTCTTCTGACCTTTGCCTCGCCATAGCAATCTTTTTCACCATTTTTGCATGTGTCTGGGCTCTCATTTGCTCAACTTTGGCCTAAAATGCATATAATTTCCATCAAAGGCAAGGCATAAAGATAACAGACTTTAATTAAAAGTATATCTAAAGTCATATTTAAATTAAATAACGACCAAAGAACCATATATACTGAATATGTTTTCATCATTTGATCAAACCTTATATGATAAAAGAGTCAGTGTATATTACTTCAGATCCAGATACAGACAAACTCTAACATAAATATGATAGTCAAGCATTTCAAGAAATATATTGAAGTGGGCATCAGTAATAATCATAACAAAATTTATCATGCCTCTTTTCTCTCTCCCCTTCTGCTTCTACATGTACTTGCTTTAAAATGCTCTGTAATCTTACAAAACTACATTTAGGTTTTAAAATCAATAACTTCGTTTCCAGTGAATATAAGTACGTAGAATAATTACCTCGGTTCTTCTCATTTCTGCTTCTAATTTTGCCTTTTGTTGACTTTCCCATGCTTGAATTTTGATTTCCTCACGCTTAAATCTGCAAATTTTAACAAGTGATAATCATATTAGTAACAATGAACAATTTACATGTTTCTATAACTATTTTCTTAAAACATGATTTAATTACTCTATGGAGAATGTGAGTAAAAATGAAACCTAGCAGTATGTTTAGATTTCTCAGCTTCTTCCCACAGAGCAGCTCGTTTTTCAAATTCAATTCTCTCCTGTTCTTGTACATTCGTGTCCCGTGGAGAAGATTGCTTCTTTTCCTGCTCATCTTTGCTTGCCCATGCAGCAATATTCATCTTGCCAAGCTGCACTCCAAGGGCTGCAATCTCTCTCCTTGTCTTTATCTTCATTTCTTCTTCAGACAGATGTCTTGTGCCATTTTCAACTGGAAACTCGGAATCCTCATCGGTCATGTTGTCCAAAGGAGTTGGAGCAGGTGCACCTCTCCTAGGAGTCGATGGCATTGAGGAAACTGGGCTCCGAAGTGGAGTTGCAGACCCAACAGGAGTAGCTGTTCGCGAAGGTTCTTGACTTGGTACAGGGGTCATTTCAGTTCCCATATCCCTCATGGCAACTGATCTTATCCCAGGCATCACTGTATCATGAAAACCAAGTCAACCTCACTACCTACACTCTGAACATGTCACGTATAGAAGAATATATATATATATATATATATATATATATATATATATATATATATATAGATAGATAGATATATATAAGAAGAACATGCACCAAGATATCCAAATGACACTCTCAGAATTTCAGATTATTCATCCACTAAATTAGGAAATATACAGTCTATGGATATTAATCTTGGCCAAGATTCAAGAGAGTAGCAAACACATCCATACTCTATATCATAACTTGTTGTATTGAATAACATACCTGATTCATCCTCTGTGCTTCTGGAGCAAGATAGACCCAATTCATTGACTTCCTTTAAATCTTTGCTTTGGGGAAAAGACTCCATAGCTGGATTTCTTCCATGTGCTTGACCTGAATGAGCATCGGAGGGAACAAAAGAGAACTTCTCAAATCCCATATGTGGTGCTGGTTGACAGAAATCAACTCTCTTCGTTTCTGCCACCTTGCCTGTTGGGAGCTTATGATCATAATGACCAGACTCGGGGGCAACCCTCACCGTAGTTGTTGGCATGCGATTTGCTTGGTTATGTGCAGTATGCTTTTTTGAGTGATTAGCCTGTATGTTTTGCCTATTCATTATCCACTTCTCGGCGTCATTCCACTTAGAAGGAATAGGTCTGAATAGAGATCTAGTGGCAGGATTGTTCCCTGGTCTCTCTCCTTTATCAAACTCAAAACTGGACGAGCTAGCATTGCTGTCATAATCAAGATTTTCATCTTCCACTGATCTCAGCGCGTGAATTGTGCTTGAACTTCCAGCACTAACCTTCTGAAAATGCTGCATCTTTACACGTCCCGGGTCACCATTTTCCTTAGGCATTGGTTCATAAGAAATCTGGCCACTGTGTCTCCGGTCCAGCACAGCATCACTAGATGGCTTCAATTGAAGCTCTAAGCTTGGAGATGTAACTGGAAGGAATAAGTTTCTAATTAATTAATATATGAATATTTTTATTCAATAGAAAATTACGCACACGTTACACACGAAAGCTGAGATATATACTGACTAACACGTAATTAAAATGTAAATGCAAAAATAAATATATTGCAATTGCAGACCTTCATCATCAAGATTGTCGGTTTTTGAGGCAAGTAAGCTATTAACAAATTCAGCATCCTCAAGCCTTGAAGGAGAAGTTCTGGATGAGTTACTGTTGGATCCATCCTTCTTCTTATAATGGTGAGGCCCTAACAACTTCATCCTCAGTTTACTGGGAGAAATTATTCCAGCCTGCAGAACAAATGGCATACTTATCCTCATCAAAATCCTAAAAGAACTCAATTAACAAATTTCTAACAGAATCCATCTTGCAGCAAACTGCATGATCAATTATACCCAATACATGACCACTTTCTTTTCTACCAAAAGGCCCACCCCACCGTTTCAACCCACACACATCTTTTTTTTTTTACTCGGAAGAAAAATGAGGGAAAATGAATCCTACCCTTTTTTTTTTCCCTTTTCAGCCTTTTTTTTCTCTCTTCCACACCCACCCACCCCCCAAATAATAATGACAAACCCCATCCTTCCATTCATTACAAAAGTAGAAAAAGTAAAAGCGTGATTTTTGAACCATGTTAAAAATTCACATGGAGGGAATCAATGAAACCAAGCCCGCAAGTAAACAGAAGGGATTACTATTCTGGACTCCTGGAACAAAAACCTTGAATTACATGGACTATTCTCCCACCAATCCAACCAAAGAAAAAAGGAAAAAAAAAAAAACAGATAATTTTGATGAAGAAAAAACATGGGAAAGGAGATAAGAGATAGCAGTGAGGCTAAATGCCAAACCTGAACTTTCTCTATCCTCTCGTACTCCATTAGATCTATAACTGTCTCTTTCTCTAAAACTTGGAAACTAGTTCATGCAGGAGTGGAATGGAAAAAAGTTGAATTTTGCAGCTTTGGTTGGAAGTTAGGACTGGTGAGTTGTGAACGAGTAATAACAATCACACATGAGAGAGAGAGAGAGAGAGAGAGAGAGAGAGAGAAAGAGAAAGAGAGAGATTATGAATGTGATGCAGCAAGAAGAGGAGCAGAAACAGGAACAGGAATAGGTGTTTACTTGCTCAAGAAAGTGTTCAAGTTGGGTTCCTCTGCAGTACGGTAGATGCTGTATCTATCTATCATCTCGCCACGCCATCAGAATGGCCCCGCCTGCTACAATATTAATTCATTCCCACAACACAATATTATTATTAATTTAAATATATCTTCTCAGAATAAATAAATAATTCTTTTTTATCAATAAAATAATAAATATTTTGAATTGGTAACACACCTCCTGTAACAATGAGTGGACATTTAAATATATGTTTTATTGTTGAAATTATAAGTATCTTTCCGCAATGTAATTTTATTCTAGTTGGTCAATATTATTTTAGATTGAAAGTTATATAAACTTGAACTTGCTATTATTAATTAAAGCAACTTTTCCGATAATTAATTCATCTATAATTAATGTACATTTGTTTAAATGATCATTTACTTTAAAAAAAAAAACAAATTTTGTTGACTTTTATAATAGAGTTTATTATATAGTTTTTGTGGTGTGCATTAATCAAAAGATCATAAAAATGACTGATAAATAATTATAAAAACAAATAAATTTGTTATATATGTATATTTAGTAATTTATAATTACTTTGAATGTATAATTTCTTTTTATATGTATAATAATTGACTTAAAACTTTGTAACAAGAATATGCTTATTAAATTTATATGTTGATTGTATTTGATAATTTAAATTAGTTCCGGTAAGTTTTAAATCAAATATTGGATTATGTGTGGAAATAACAGTTTTTTCACTATTACTTTTACCAATGATTTTAACCATTGATTTTCCCCTTCGATTGGGAAACATGATCTCCTCATATTGCTAAATATAATTTTTAGTTTTAAAATATATAATTTGTTTTTACAAAATAATATTTTAAATAAATAATATTATTTCTCTTATTTTTATAAAATGATATTCAACTCCTTTATTTATTTAAAAATAATATATTAATTAAAATTTAAATAAATAAAAGAGAAAAACTATACCATTTCTTTTAATAACTTCTTAAATATGTATACTTCTTACAATCGTTTTCACACGTGTAAAATCATTCATATAACAAGAAAAAAAAGTTTTTATAATTCTTTTTTAAATTTTAATCAATATAATGTTTTTAAATAGTGCTATTTAACCTAAAACAAGTGTAATTTTTCTTTAAAAATAATATTTATATATTTTACTTTACAATAAATGTCATAGCCCAGCAGACAATCAGCACGTAACCACGTAAATTAAATTCAATTTGAGAGTTTCTTCTTGCGTTCCAATGGAGATTTTTAATATTTTAAAAGACTAAACATGTTAGGAATTAAATATTTATCGATGTTGCTTCTAATCTAACTGTTATAGAAAATTGTTTTCTATATATTATATATATGCACACAAATATATCAGTACATAGATGAAAAAGTAACCATTTTTACTGGAATAAGTGACACGAAACTTTATATATGTAAAATAGAGAAGAGAGAAATTTAACCTAAACGGTAACATGTTACTTCAACTAAAATTATTAAAAAACGTGACCCTTATTAGTATAATTAATATTATAAAGTTCTTAATAAAAAATAAATGAGAAATTGTCATTTAAACTTCACATAAAAGAAAAAAATTTACAATGATAATAATATCCCTAATTTTAGGGTTTAAGGTTTAATTCATTAAGTCTCCTATTAATAATTATAATGGTTTATTGAGTCTTATTAATTATTATAATAATTTATTAAATCTTATTAATTATTATAATGATTTATTAAGACTAATTAATAATTATAATAATTTATTAAATTCGAAAAAACTAAAATATAGTTTAAAAATATTTAAAAAATATCCTTAACGATAAAAAATATATGAAAATTATAAAATAATTATTTAATTAAATTTTAGTCTATGAATTCCTCCTGTTATTTGATTTTGAGTTTTTATATTATATTGATCCAAAATTCTTCTCCACTTATAATAAGTTGATCTATGGTACTTAATATTTTTTTTCCTCCTTGAATGGTTTCTCCTCAAATAATTCCATTAACTCTTAAAAGAAGATAATTCTTGTAAAAATAGATCAATAAATAAAAATAACTTGACAAGAAAAATAAGAACTTATATTCTCTAGAAATTTGAAATTGATTAGTACCTACTTCAATAAGCCTAAAACGTGATAATATAATTTTTTATTATTATTCACGTTAAGACAATACTTATTTTTGTCTCAGTGGTGTGAGACTCTTCTTTTATCACATTATCAAAAAGGCGTCCAAAAAATAGATGTCTAACACTATTGGTGTAACATCATAGAGAACCTTGTCCTGTTATTTTTCCAATGAAAAATGAAATTTGTTTAATCATAATTATATCTTAGTCTATATGGAATATGATTTTTTTTTATTGGTAAATTTAATTTCTGAACCAACAAGGTGCTAACAACATTGCTACACCATCCATTCTCAATAATCATGCTATGTACTTTATCATTTATGTCATACATAATATAAAATATATGCTCACATTCTTCACTATCTCTATGAGGTTGAAACTAAGAGCATCCTTATAATAAGAATATCTTTATGTATAGGTTAAAAAAAAAAAAATCAACGTTACCACAATCCTCCAATGGTGACATTTCAACATCACTTGATCAAACAATTTCTTTGTCGTCATTGTTCTTTTATTTGAACATTAGGACGCAATATGTCCAACACTACGTGACACCTGAAATATTTGATATCATCTGATTTAGAAGATGTATAAAATTCAATTTTATCTTTATCATCAACAATTAAATACTTAGTCATTACATCTTTCTTTTTTCTTCTTCTTTTTGGTATGGGTGTAGACTTAACCAATAAATCTAAGGATGATAAAATGTAAAGAAAATAAAAACGACTTCACCAAAAATAACTTCTTTTTTAGGATTGGAGAAATAATGAGACCTTTGATGCCAAATGATATCAAACTGATTTTCCGAATCATTTTGAAACTAAGTTCTTAAACAGTGACTTGCTAGTTGAACCAATAATGTAAAGTTCTTAAGAAACTCTCATAATGTGAAGAAGTAATATGTAGATCTCTATCTTGAGGATTTCAAGAGGAGCTTATTAATAAGCTAAGTTAGAGAACATTTATCATAAAAGAAATAAATTTGTAATAACGTATTAATTACTTCACTATAAGAAAATTATTAATTATCACTAGTTCATTTCGCATCTCTCGTCCATTCTTAATGTACGTTGATGCACTTGTCATTGCCAGTGGTTATTGTTGTGGTGGTTGTTACTCCATAATACTGATTATGGTCTCGTTTGCACTATTCAATCGCAGCTGGTTGTGCATGGTACTTGTTTGGCGGCAGCAACCACTACAAGAAAAAACGCTATTAGCGACCGAAAAAATCGGTCGCTAATGGCCAAAATTCGGTCGCTATTCTGTTAGCGATCGAAATTAGCGACCGAAATGGTTGGTCACAAAAGGGCAAGTCGCTAATTTATTAGCGACCGATTTACATTTCGGTCGCTAAATAGCGACCGATGAGGTGGTCGCTAAAGTGGTCGCTAAATAATTTGGTCACTTATTCATTGAAGACCAAAATAGCGACCGAAATTAATATAATAAATCGGTCGCTAAATCGGTCGCTAAATCGTGGTAAAATTTTAAAAAATAGCGACTGATATATTCGGTCGCTAATATATTAATATAATTATTTAAATAAAAATTAAAATCGGTCGCTAAATTGGAGACAAAGTTAACAATAATAGCGACCGGATATAATCGATCGCTAATATATTAATTGAATTATTTAACTAATAATTTAAATCGGTCGCTAAATCGGTCGCTAAATTTGAATTGTATATTATAATAAATTTGTAGCGACCGAAAATTCGGTCGCTAATCTAACCAAATCTGAAAATTTTCGTTTAAAATTTTGTATATCCAATTTGACAAAATTTGTACCTGCTTAATTCATCCAAACATAACACAAATGAAAACTTAAGAACTAAAGTCAAATTTTGTATATCCAATTTTACAAAATTTGTACCGCTTAATTCATCCAAACATAACACAAATGAAACTTAAGAACTTAACAACTAATCAAGATTCAAAGTCTTAATATCATAAAATTGAAAATTAGTCCTCTGGTATATTGTCGGTGTCATGTTGACTTGTAGTAGGATGACTATTCATTTGAATATGTTGTAAAATAAGCTTCATCTGCTCATCTTGTTGGCGTTGGTTGTTCCTCAACTCGTGCATCTCTTCTTCAAGTGTCTTCTCCTTATTATGCTTTGCCACCAATTCAGCATTTAACTTTTCAATAGTCTCACGCATTTGTTCAATTTGATGAAGTATTGGAGTTTGAGTAATAGAAGATTGAGAACCTGATGTAGTAGTGAACTTTTTGCTCAATGTACCAAGTCCATACACATTTCCTTTTTTATTTTCACCTCCAACAACTGAAATGTATATTTGATTATCATCAACAGAGACAATAGGAGACTCTTGTGAAGATGAGTCTTCACGCAAGTTATGTTGATGGACTTCTTCTCTGCGTTGCATATATTGTTCCTAAAAATGAAGTGAAATATAATTATTATGAAGAAAACATATATTGAATAATAAACTATAACTTAGATGTTAAACATACAGCAAGATAACGAGTTTTTTCATTGACCCATTGTCCAGTCTTTAATTTCTTTGTCCTCTCAACAACCTCCCAAACGGTTGGTTCCCGTTGAAACTCCGTAGTCTACACATTAAAATGAGACA